CACAATGTAAACTCTTCCAGACATTAGGGTATTTTTGTCTTCTCCTGAGTTTCATTGTGCATACCCATCTTTACTTTTGTATAAGGTACACATGTGGTGCCCGGTGACAAACATAGGTTGACATGGCCCAGGGGAGGAATAAGAAAGAAGGGGAGAATTACTTGTAAGCTGATCCTGAATAACAATGGATGGGTAGTTCTTTTTAAAAAACCCAGATGACAGCATATGCTCCAGTTTGAAAGCACTAAAGCCTGAGTTTGCCAAAAGCTGCAGAGCTGATAAATAAAGCAGTAAAAATATTAACTGGATACTGAAGTCAATTCTAAATTTGGTTACTTCAAGTGACTATAAATTTTAGCAGATAAACACAAGACTATCCGGTGAAAAAAATGAAAATCTTTGACTGCAAAAGTACAGCTGGAGGGCAGGGCACAATGTTATTTGAGGCACAAGACAATAAATCTCTAGGAGTTTGACTTCTAGGATACACTCAGGTCGAGAAATATATGAGCACCCCAGAGAGTATAAAGTTCAGGGTCAGAGAGAGTTTCTTGCAAAATTTTCTTACTGTAGACAAGAATCTACAACAACAAGAGTTGTTGTCAGCTTGTGGTAAACTATGGTGATAACACTTGGCATCTCATGCTAGAAATAGTGTTTTTCATCCATGCTTGCCATATTGCTTTGAAATAGTGATCCAGTTAGCAGGTGCTATCATTTCTTTCTGGTACTGTGTGATTTGGTGATGTGGAATGTTGTAAAATTTCTTCCTGTGCTCCAAAATTGGCCCTTTCAGTAGAATAAAATCATTGTATCTTAAATATATCTTAAGTATTTAATTATTATTAATTAAATACTTAAATACTCTTACAGTCTTCTTTATGGAAAAAAAAACCAAACCCAAACGAAATCCACAAACCTTTATGATATGAACTGAGTGTCAACTCATGCAGAGCTCACCTTCCTCTCTAAGCAGGCAGCTGGTATCAATAGTATCCTGTGCCTCACTTCACCAAATGGGTTGTTTCTGAAGATGAAACAAAAACAGTTAGCCTGAAGATAAATATAAAAGTTGCTAGCTATTTCACTACCCAATGTAGCACTGTCAAAATCTCTTCTTTACATCGTGTGACTCAGTACTCTTAACAAAAGACTTCACAATGTAGGATTCATAAGTTTTGCCACTCAGCTGTATGTTCAGTTATGCTAATGTAAAGGAACTAATACTCCTTATGAGTACACTGCTGACTTCTGCTAAAATAACTCTGTTGTACAGAATTGGATGGAGGTATGCCAACAGAAACCCCTAGTATACACAGAGGCAATGTTTTCCTAAACATGCATGTCATACCTCCCCTGCACCCCTGAAACCTGGGTCTGCATTATCCAGGATCAAATTGCACCAACTGCATTTGTTTCCCAGGAGAAGTCACTCAGGCACTAGAAGTGCATGTGATATTGCACATCAGATAAATGGCTCATCTCAGTTGATGCACTAAAAGCATAGAGCTAGACTGTACAATCAAGTTTCATATGACAAACTGTCAATCAATGAATTAAAAGTCAACCCTGAGTGAACAAAGCAGATACCACTTTGTGTTCTTCTGTGCAGTTGCAGAAATGATATCTCATAGTTAATATTTCAGTAGTAGTACCTGTGCACTTTTGAATGTATTACAAATTTTTTAATGTATATGGGCAAAAGTTGGTCTCGTGGATTTTCAGTTTTTCATAATTTACATGTACTTTGTATATATGCAGTTAATACATAGATAAAATGAATTGTTGTTTTAATAAACATTCTCTGTTTCTGCATGGGCAGGCAGATATATACAATAAAAAGAAACTCTTTAGAGGAATAAAAACCTGTAGCAAAAAGAAAGTATTTCTTCTTAGGTATCTAAAATTTGTGAGTAAATATTATGCTTTCTATCTGTTTTACTGTCTATTCACTCAGTTGTCCCTTTCATGTTATTTTAAAATAACCGAGCCTGCGTACTGAAGAATGCTAACATTAAACACGAGATACAATGAGCCTGTAACCTCTGCCTTAGCTTCCTAGCTTCAGCTGTAGCTGAAATTGCCTGGGCTGGTGGGAGGAGAGGGGTGTGAGGCAGCAGCAGCAGGAGCCCAGGGGCTGAGAGAGGCCACTGCAGGGACTCAGGAAAGGTAAAGGGGAGAGGAGAGAAAAGAAGTTGCAGGGAATGAGGAGAAGGCAGAAGCAGCAGCAAACAGAAGGGTTGAAATACACTCCACCAGACCATAGATCTCTTCTGCTTGGAACATCAGGAAAGAGCCATGTGTTCATCTGTATGTATTACAGTAGGCAGATTCAAAAAGGTCTAATCTTTAGAGCAGAATGCTATTCGGTTCACAAGCACATTGTTGCAATGAGCAGGCGTGACAAAAAGCTGAAATGGAGACTGCAACAGCATGGGAAAAGACACCAGAGAACTTACAAAGCAGAGCCCAAGTAGGCATGTCCTGGACTTGACTTACCACTGGACTTCAGCTGACACTGTGATCGGACCTCTTCTGCTTTTGTGACTAGAACACAGTGATGGATACCTAAGTTTTAGCTATTTACTTGATGAAATTTCCAATGCTATTTTTGCTGCTGGGGCCCCATCAGCTTGCAGTGTACTCACCTCTTTCCATTCTGTACATATACAAAACTTTGTGCTGCCCACCTTGCCCACAGCTGTGTTTCTTGCTTTCATCACCAGCATGTTGGTAGAGATAATAGGCGTAGCTCTATTCAGGATTGAGGATGCTGGGGCCTTTGCATTATAGAGGTACTCGTCTCATATAAAAGGCTTTATTATTATTTCTGAAGGTAACTTGCAACCAAATAATCCTTTCTACAGCATGCAATCAGCAGTGAAAAACATTTTTCTTGGTGTTTTTACATATAAGTGACAAAATTCTGCTTAAGTTTGGCTGCCCTTTCAGAGCTAGTGCAAAAATATTTTTCCAAGTACTAGATGTCCAAATAAATCAGGGAAGGAAAGCTGCAATATTATAGCCTTGCATCACTCTGTAATGACTAGCAGAATTTGTTGACGTTTTGATGTAGGGAAGTCCTCACTTCAGAAACAGCATTAACATTTTAAGACGTTACTGTCTTCCACTCTATTATTTCCCTTCATTATAAGGGGCTAGAGCTACAACCTTCTGAACTCAGACACCATAACAGATTGTGCAAATAAGTCAAATGCATTTCAGTGTGCTCAGGAGAGTCCCCTTTAACCGCTGCTGAAGACGGCTCAAGCTAAGTCTGGCTGGCTTTGCACAGAAACATATTAAGGATGCTCACACGGTCTGTGAGCATGGCTCACTTGGGAGGCAGTAACTCCCTAAATCATTTCAGTTTGTTCCACAAGAGCACATTTCTCTCAAGCCTGGATGCCATGTATTCATGAGAGTGAGGACAAGTGTGAAGCCTCAGGAGCTCTGCAGTGAGTGTCTCCCCACAAGTTCCCTGTGTAGCTCTGCGCTTTCCCACATTATGCCTTCTCCTGAGTATGAAATCTGACAAATCAGAAAATCCTGATCCCCTGTAATCATTGAAAGGTTTACTGCTTTCCTTAAAGGTTCTGGCATGATTATTGATGGCCGCCTTATTATCCGTCGTGTACAGGTATAACTTGTTATGTAATGCCACTGTTGTAGCATCTCCTCTGCCGTGATGTTTGCACCTCCTGGCTTGCACGTTCACTTTAACATTCCAAGCAGTTTATTTTTTAATCTTTTGAGGGTACCCTTTTCACCACAAATGTCTTCACCCTATCCTTCTTTTGTAATCTGCACATCCAGCAAAGCCTGTTGATGTATGAAATGAGAATTGTGCATGGGCTTTTTCCACCTTGGCTGTCTGTGTTAACATGCTTGGCCTAAGTACTCTAAATGAAATAAAATGCTTTTCAGCTTCATCTGTATTAAGCTACAGGGTGCTACAACAAAAGATTAATGGTTTCAGCTGGCACGCTGACAGGTGGAGAGGGGTCATTACTGCCCTCTTGTTCTAGACAGAATTCCTCTCCTTGAAGAGAGGGTGCACTCCTCAAGCCTCATGACAGGTTGACATAGAATTTATTTTCTTGTCAGAAATAATAGTCAGGATGGAAACTCGCATGTATTGTACAGCAATCTTTTTTTTCTTTCATTTTTCTTTAGTTAAAAACGTTAAACATGTTTTCTTGGGAACCTTAAACTATTCTCATTCATCCTGGAAATAGAAACTGTTGTAATACTAGTAGGTAACTTTACATTTCCTTTCACTGCTGAACATATAACCCATGATGGAAAGACTGTTTTGCCATGTCTCAGAATAAGCATATTGTCTATTGCATGCTAACTAGCTCTGTTACAGGATGGGGAAATCCTAAGCTGCTTTCTTGGGTTAACTTAGGCTACTCTTAAGGTATTTCCTCAGTTATCCTTTACCTTGAAAAATTTCTCACATAGTTTCAGGACATTTTCTTTATTTATACAAATTGTCTGAATTTATTGCTTACCAAAGTTAATTGCTCCTCCAGGATTTGTCTTTTACTCTTCTTTCCGTTACTCCGTTTCCAGGCACCAGCACAGCTACTGTTGTATCTTCTTTTTGCAAGAGCTTTGCTGTTCTGGTCTTGTCTTTGTAGCCAAAACTGTCAAGTTGAATGCATTTGGTAGGGCTTTATGCCAAAGATGAACTTTCAAAATAGACTGGCAAACTCACTTTTATTCATATATAAAATGAATATTCCAGTTCTTTACTGAACAAAAAAAAAAAAAATTAAAAGCAACTTAATTCTAGTTAAATCACTAGTTATCAAGTGTCTCTTATACTAAGTAAGGCCTAAATAAGGAATTTGAAGAAACATTACCAGAAGAGAGAAATGGTTAATGACCCCATTTCATTACCTACCTCTTAAAAAATAGTTTTTATTCTAATTAAAACTTGCTTCTTTTGACATCGTATGGTCGTTGCATACATCTGATCATTTCTTCTATAGCTGTTTCCTGTCCTTCTGAAGAGACAAATATGCTTGATCCAGTAGAAGAGAAACTTCGAACGCAAATTGAAGAAGAAAAAAAAAGGTATTACTCCTCCCTCAAACTTCTGCCATCCTTCAGAAGATAAATTATATTGATAGTATATTCCAGTTACAATTCTGCACACACAGCTACCCTCAGGGTTTTATCTGACATTTTTAAAATGTCAGCTTTGTGGTTCACTAATAGTTTTTAAATTTGTGTATATGCTGTTGGTTTGTCTGTAAGATGCCACAGCACGAGTGGGGAAAATTTATGCTTGGGCTAAATAAAAATAGCTTAATGTCCTCCCTGAGGATTAGTGTTGGAAACTTGTTGTTTGAATGTAAATGTATTGTGAACCTTTTTGGTTGATTCAGAAATGTCCTGCCTGCCTTGACCAAAGGAAAACCTTCAGGCTATACAGGATTGACTAGGTGTAAATAATATGCAGAATACACAGCGGTTAACCAATCCTTGCTCTAATGTCACTGTAGCCAGGAGGATAAAAGTAAATAGATGCAAGGATATCAGTTCTGAGTAATTTGCTAGCATTTATGTTATGTGCATCTGTGAGGAAACTTCTGGCTATTTCATACTACTGGTAAATCTCTGACTATATGTTAGCCAAGAGGCCTCGTTAATGAAGCTTCCATCTGAAAGGGGAATCAGTCTCAGCTCCTATCTGAATCCAGGCTCTGGTGACCAGTTGTTTATTAATGATAACATGCTGAGAAACCAAAAGAAATAATTCACATATTTGATTGAACCTGTATTTTAATTGTTAATCAATATTGATCCGACTTGTATTTCACTAATTTCTTTAGTGAAATAAAAGCTTTGTGGGATAAGTTTCTTGTACTTACTGTCCAGTGAAGCTCTTGTAAAATATGAGATGTCTCTTCCTACCACCACTCTGTCTGTGTCCCCTGCATCTCTGATTATTATATATTCTTTTGTAGTTTAAATCTGTAACTGTTCTAGGAAGGATAAAGCTTTGTTCAGATATGTGTTGGAAGATCTGTAATACTCTTTCTTCTTCTCATATTAGTTATAAAACAATGTTCAATCGCTTGAAAGGGCTAAAGGTAGAGATTGAGCACCTGCAGCTTCTGATGGAAAAAGTAAAGATGAAGCTGCAAAAAGACTTTGAAGTCTGGTGGTCTGAAGAGGTAAGAAACCTACAGGTATGAAATCACTTTGTATTTCTTCCATTTTCATGTAATGTAGCATCTTCAATCATTTCTTAAAGAAGTAATTAATTGACTAGATAGAAAGGAGTGTGAAGGATGGGATTTGGGGCCTGATTCACCTGTGCTTATGCCAATGTAAATCAGACAAAGCTAACGTGAATTATGCTAGTATGAAGCTAACACAAACGAAGCAAAACCCTTGCTTTCTGCTCTATTTTCTCTTTTGACATTCCCCCAAGCAATCTGATTGAAGGCCAAGAATGGTCCCAAACTGCCAAAAACTCTGAAGGAACATAAAACAGAGGAGATGATTGGAAAAAATAATCTTGTTTACTGGTAGCAAAACTATGATTTCATCAGCTTTATGACGTGTGTATTAGAAGATGGCAGTCATAGCTGTAATATGGACAAATCCATTTGTCCAAATCCAAAGAGAAGATTTACTCCTTGGGGAAAAGTTGTTATAAACAAATATAACTGGTTTTTAGCTTTCTTTGTTTGCAAAGACTCCAGCAACCTTTCAGCTTTCCTAAGCTCCCAGAGGGTCAGCAGCTCTCAGCACAGAGAGTGTGTCCCCTCACTCTCTAGCTGAGGCCCACCATTGCCATCATTGCCTGTTTAAGAACCCAGCAGAAACAGAGTGCTCTAATTTAATGACTTGCGTAAAAATGAACTAAAGAGATGTCATTTTAAACAGTGTATTAGGAGTTCATAACACAGTCTGAAAGCTACACAGTTTCACAAACACAGGAGGCAGTATAAGAGGGTCCGGAGGGGGATCAACCGAAACAACAGCATAGCTTTCTTATGCTCCCCTTCTGACACTTTTTTAATGCCTTCCAAATAGTGACATGGCATCTCACAGCAGAGCACTGCCATGAAATGCACATCAGCCTAATGAGAAAGAGTGCTGAGTGCAGTCCATCCCATATCGTTTACTATTAACTGGAAGAGAAGATTTACTCCTTGGGGAAAGTTGTTATAAACAAAGAAGTGTTTAGCCAGTATTTGGTTTAATTCTTATGAGTATAAATTTAAACTGTGTTTTTAAGAAAACAGCCTAAAGTAAACACGGACCTTAACACGAGGAACTTAGTTATCCTTAAAGTGCCACCTAACTAGCTTAACTTCAAGTTATCCTTGCAAAATACTTTTCAGGTTAAAATCCCTAACCATATTAGTAGCAAAAAGGATAATGTTTTAGTCACCCTCCTGTGTAAATATTTAGGCTTTTCAAAACACTGCAAGTAATATTCTTGAACCACTGGAGCACATTTTTCTCTATCCCTTAACAGGAGAGGTCCGGGATTCGGCCTCTCATGATTCATCAGTAGATTAGAAAACTGGAAAAAATAATTTGGATTGATTTCTTGGATCTTGACCTATCTATACATCTGAGCTCCCTAAGAAACTCAAATCGGCAAACACATGCTGTTACATATTAAAAACCTGTAACTTGAGCTTCAAAATACTTGAAACAATCCTAAACACTTTTCTCTTTGTTCAGAAGTGTTTGTCCAAGTGAAGAAAATACTGTGTGATTCAGACTCTGTGTTTTCTGAATGAGTCATTGCCTACCTTGTTATTGCTGAGACCTGTAGACCGATATTAAGCACTCCAAAAAAATCCTGTTCTACATAATTTTGTTTTTCAATCTAAACCCAGCAGGAAAAGCCAGAGATGGTTAGCTCACCAAATACCACAACTGTTTATCCCCAGTTTATCAAATCCTCGCAACATCTATCAACTAACAGGTAAATTGTAATTTTTCTCTTCCTGACTTACTTGTAAGAAAATGCAGTTTTAGTAGAAGTGCAGTTCACCAGAATGGTTTTGCAAATATCACACTCAAACACCACATTTCCAGTTACAAGAGAAATGACTGTGTAGAAAATGAATTTTTATCATTCAGTTATTTTGCAATCATATTGAAGGTAGCCTATTGTAACTCAGTTCTTTTGACTTGTTGGTCTTGGGACCCTGGAAACCTGTCACTAGGGACCCCATGACAGATAGCTAAGAAAAGCAAGCCTGTTATCAGTCAATTTTGCTATATGAGGAGACTATACCTCCTTTGGAATGCGTTCAGGGGCCTGTAAACCAAAAAAAGATTTAAAAATTATTTAATATATAGCCTAGATAGATTTGCTGAAATCTATTTGCTGAACATTTGTTGAAAAAATGTTCTGGTGCTACATTTATGCAGCATATTATTCCACAATGATATTTCATTTGATATTGTAAAACACTGGTGCATCTTATACAGCAAAAAAATGTAATCGTCTTGGTTGTTTCATCATCAGTCACTTCTGATTTCAAAACCTCTAATTTAAATTTGCAGTCATAGATCTTTCATAGCCTTCAAGCAAAGTAGAATGCAGGAAAACACACACACAAATATGCAGGTTTCCATATGAATTGAAAATAAATGGAGGTGTTCCCTCTCCTTTTTAATTCCTCTCTCCCTTCCTACCTCTCTCTTGCTCTCTTTTTCTCCCTCTCTCTCTCCCTCCTTCTCATTATACAGTCAATCTTTCTCTGATGAGTGGCTTTACCTACAGTTTTATAACAATACTCTGCATAAATGATGTTTCCTGCTTTGCAGCAAACATAATATAATCTACATACCATTAAATAATGAATACTGGATTTTCTTAAAACTGTGAAATATATTCTAATCTTTATTGTAAACTTTAGTGAATCTATAGTAAATGGTCCATAATCAGTACAGAGAATGAAACACATAATCCGCTAAAGTTGTCTAAGAAGGCATTTTCAGATGTCTCAAACTGATGAAAACCAACTCTAGTCTTCTCTACTTTGCTTCAGTTCTTACTCTGTGTTCTCTCAAGACTTAGGCACTATTTGTTTTGCAAATGGCTGGCAGGTTTTAGGCCTAATTTGAGCTGTTCATTTCTGATTTTAGGCTGAAGGTTTCTTGTCCCACAGAAAAGCTGATGGAACAGAATGTGAGAGCATTTTTCGTCTAGCTTAGCTCAAGGTCAGCCAAATTAGCTCAAGTAATTCATGACTGTCACTCTCTTTAAATTTGTAATTTTGAGTTGAGCTAAGGATCTCTAGCACAACCTCTTTGCCCTGTTGTTCTTGGGAACAACAATTTCCAGTTGGTGTGCTGATGCATTGCTCAGGAGAGTGTTATATTTTGCAGTCTAAGCTAGAATTAAAAAGAACATACGATAATGCCCAGGCACTTTCCAGTGCAACGGGAGACTGGCCTCCAGGAGTGGTGATTTCTCATTCCCCCGCCCTAGCTCAGAAGCAAAATTGCACAACTGGTTTCTTTATAATTTTATTTTAAACACCTTTACTGTTTGTGTTTGTTACTGGAGGACAGGTCTCAGAGAAGTGTGTCTAGCATTTTGAATAGAACGGGGGAAGGTGCCTGGTTGCTTTCAGTTGCCAAGCTTATTTCAGAGTCCTGTACTGCCCCACATGGTCTCTTGCGAAAAATCACGTTCTTTAGAATGAACAGTTTCTCTGTGTCTAAGTAATGGACATGTTGACTGAGATTGACTGAATGATCCTTGCATACATATCACAGACCCAGAACATTTATCTTCTTGAACTTAAATTGCAGAGGGAGTCAGGATGAATATAGTTTTGTTTTCCCGTCTCTATCAATATTCTTGCAATGGTCTTTTGAAGTTATCTACTCTTTCTTCCTTATAGTTCCAGAAAGTTGATCCTATTTTATGTTAGGCTGTTTAAACATATTTTACACAAGTACATTTCCAGTGTGATGTATATGGAAGTAGAAACACTATTTCTGCTTTTCGTGAGGCAGGAGCTGCAGGCTTAACATCCCACTGTGCATGAAAATTTACTTTTCCCCCTACTTGAGGCAATAACATTTTAGAGTAAAAGTTTCCAATTTCACAGGCTTTAAGAGTAGAAAACAGTAGAATATTTATTTCCCAAGGATTTCCTTGACCCCAGTTGACACAGGGACTTTACTCACCAGTTCCCATGCTTGTGCAGGATGAGTCCAGGCTACAATTGTTCCTCTCAGTTACATAGTCCTGAGACACAAATGGCTCTTTGTTTCTAACTCACCTAGAAATCAACAATCTCTTTCTCTGAAATGATATTGCTATCTTCACCCAGCAGAATAACCAGTGACAAAAGCAGAAACTGACAAATTATATTTGATATAATGTGGTGTAAATAAAATCTATTTCCAAGATGGAATTCAGTTCACAGGTGTGTTCAATAGATATAAGATCTAAAACTTAGTGGGCTGCATGTCAGAAATCTAAGACTGCTGTTGACAGAGTAAGTATGCAGTAAAACCATTCAGACAAACTCCTGAGTGTGAATGGATATAAATACGATCTTCAGGATTAGAAGTAATAAATTATCTATCTTAGCATATAAAGGATACAGGTATATTCCATAATCTTTCTTGAGATTTATATATGTGTTTGAACAAAACCTTTTGATCACCTTCTAGTGCATTGTTATTGTTTGACACACTTTAGTCATGTTACCAGAGAAAATTAAGCCTTGGGAAGGGAACGTGATAGCCTCAAATTATATTTTATATTAAAGCAATTTATAACTAAAATAACAGAGAAGGGAAGCTGGTAATCCTTTTTAGGCTTAAGAAGGATACACATGTATAAAAGGCACTTGATTCATGGCCAAACATGTCTCTTTTTCAATTGAAAAAAAATGGCTGAATTGTTAAGTGTAGAAATGAGTCTCTTAATAAAACTCTTAATAAAAGAGTTGAACAGTGAGCATTTCTGCCTTAGTCGGTAAGGTTTGAAAGCCATTGGCTTGATCCTACTCCCACTAGAGTAAGAAGCAAAACACTGATTTCAGTGACCACAGAGCTGAAGTGGGGAAAAGGGTGACATAAGGGTTATCAGTGGATTTGGCATGAGAAAAAACATTTCTGCATAAGAAAGGGAATTTCTTGAACAGGTTAATCACATTACCAAATCTGATATACACTTAAAATAGCTGAAACCAGTAGTTTGTGTGTTGTAGAGTCTTATGGACTCATGTTCATTAACCTGTTGGGTAGATTCAGAAGGTTTCCAGACTATATTTATCTTTGCATATGTCTTTCATACGAAGGTTGCAGAAATATTGAGTGTCATCTGATCTGAACATATTACTCAAAATAAAGAACAGCTGTGCAAAGTGGAGAAAGAATGACCCATCTCTGTATTTCAGACAGAAAAAGGTCTAATCAGCAATCCCAGAGTCACAGTACAAAGGGAAAGGAAGAGGAACTTAAAATAATCATCAAGAAGTTATTTTATTCAAAAGGAATACCTAATAAAATCCCTCAAACTGGAAAGAAAATACCCTACTTGTCCATATAGTCTCTACCATAAAGCTGTGGTGCTAACAGCAACTTGTACTGTATGTACATTTATGTCTCTTAATGGGTTCCTGTCAAGTCTGCAAAAAGTCTTAAAATGCATGTCGGGCTCAGCACTCCATGTCTGCTCCACTTCAGAATTGAAGCACAGTGTTTTGTTCATCCTTATATAGTCTTCTCCCACATCGGCTTTCATTTAAGAAATTTGTCAGATCCTTGTCTGTTCAAGTTACTTCTCTCACTGAATATTTAATTTCACTAGTGTTGAACTGTTCTTGTATTCCCCTTGAATCAAGCAAATATTGGATAGTTATTCAAATCTTCTAAAAAAATTTTTTTTTCCTTCTCTCAGAAAGAATGCATTTGGTTTTAATTCAGTCAGATCTTTCTTAACCTCACTCATTCCCTTTTACTGAATCTCATTTGTCCTATTCCAGCAAGCCCCACAGTATGTTCAAACTCAGACTCCTTGGCTCTCCAGCTTCTTCTTCAAAATCTTCCTGTCACTTTACATCCCCTTGGAGATATTTTCAGATAACTCTTCATGTTCTCTGATGACTTTCAACATCAGATTTTTTAACATTTATTGTACTGGATTGCAAAATTTACTCCCTATATTAATGTTATGTGAAACAAGGGAAATGTTTACATATTTTGCAGCATTTTCTGTTGTAATCCTTTTTCATTCTTGCCAATTTTCTGCAGTGTTACATGATGATAAAATATAATCTAGGAATAACATTGTTGATTAATGGCATTTCAAAGGTTTTCACATTCTGTTGGTAACAATTTAACTTGAACAATTTATCTATGAATTTGAAAGTTAGGCCAAATTTGATTTTGTAATGAAATACTAAAATGCTCAGATTTTAAGCAGCTTGAATCTTGCCTGTCCTTACACAGAACATCTGTTCCCCTCATGTGCAAGGCTCAGGTGACTGGAGAACTGCAGCTGAGGTTTTTTTAATGTTGCAGAGGTTGCACACTATCGTGGTTTAACCTGGCAGGCAGCCAAATGCCACGCAGCCACTCGCTCACTCCCCCCCACCGGTGGGGCGGGGGGAGAATTGGCACGGTGACG